TAGATAATTACAACCATGTTATGGCATGTTCATCTCATAAATGTAAGAATTTTTGCTGCTACTCCAAACATATTCAAAAGTTTAGGATTTGATTTTAGATTTTTGGTGTTTTAACGCCACTTTTAAGCACCGCTTTTGGACTATTTCTTGGCGGCCAGTTTTTATTGGTGGAGGAACCGGAGTGCCCGGAGTAAACCACCGACCTTCGATAGGAAAACTGACAATCCTAGTCAATAAAGATTGGAGTCGAGTGCACCCGCACGAGCGGGGTTCGAACTCACAACCTCAGTGTTGACTGGCTAGTGATTACAGTAGTAACTACTTAGACCACTCGGCCACCGAGGCCCCCAAAAGTTTAGGATAAACCATTGCTATTCCAGTAAGAATCACAGGTATTTTAAGACCGATTAGATAACGGGCCTTCAACAGGAGAATTAAAATTTGATAAATTAAAGGTTCACACTGTTTATTTTTTTAAAGGTGGAATCTGTAAAGATGGTGTGGATGGTTACATTTGCGATTGCAGAGACGGATATACCGGCAATAACTGTGACATTATCATGGATCCTTGTATGGGTATCACGTGTTTTCACAATGGCACATGCGAGGCGTCAAGTAGTGATTTTTCCGGGAGTTGTCTTTGTAGTCAGGGTTACACAGGACATAGATGTGAAATTGTGATAAATCCGTGTACCGATGTAGAATGTCAAAATGGCGCTCATTGTACCAGTATTAGTTCAGGATTTGGTTTTCAGTGTATTTGTCCTGTTGGTTACAATGGCGTGTATTGTGAAATTCGTTCAGATCCATGTCAGTATATAACATGTGCTAATGGAGGCACGTGCAAGAGCTACACAAATCATTACATTTGTATCTGTGACCCACATTATGGCGGGAAACATTGTACGTCGGTATTGATGCCTGCTGATGAGACTGTTTCAGAAAGACCGGGTAGTGATATTATACCGGTAGTGAAAAATGGAGCATGTTTGCATTTTAGAATTTCATACTTGACAATCTTTTCCGTCTTTTTATGTTCGTATGTAAACATTTTTACAATCTTTTCATGACGAATTTGAAGATCTAATTTTAATAAAATTATTATTTGTATATTTCTTTATATATCATATCAATGAGGCACTTATCAGTCAATGATAGATATGAAGGTTTAAACAATATATTGAGCGAGCGAAAAAGGATTTATACTGTTAGTAGTGAATAAGTAGTAGGGGGATGGGGGTTGGGGTTGGGGTTGGGGGTGGGGGGTTGGACTGAAAAGTAAAAAAAACTTGATATAATTTATAATAACATATTTCGTTCATGTCCTACATTGCATAATGAGTTCTTCATTGGTAGATACTATGCTTATAAGCATCACCATCATACTAGTATTTGATATCGTTTGATTGACAACTTGCTTTATATCTGTTTCAGCAAATAATGTATGTGGCTAGCAATTGTATTCATTTTACCTTTGTTTGTTCCGTTGGTTCAATAAATCAGACATGAAAAAAGGAATTAAAAAACAGAAAATGCAATATATATATATAAAAAAATTGTATGATTGCCAACGACACAACTATCCACCACAGTCTAAAGAACGTAGATTTTAGCAACTACGTGCCACCGTATTCAACAATAAGCACAAGAGTGCACACACTGAAATGTCTCGCCTTCTTTACTAATCATTGATATTATGTTGATAGTCCTAAATATAAAGCTTTATTACAACTGTCACATAAACTTAACATTAACCAAGAAAACTAAACATTGACCAATGAACCATGAAAATGAGGTCAAGGTCTGATGAACCATGCCAGGCAGACATGTACAGTTAACAGTTCTTCCATATAACAAATATAGTTGACCTATTGATTATAGTTTAAGACCAAAACACAAAAACTTAACACTGAGCAATGAACCGTGAAAATGAGGTCAAGGTCATATAAAACCTGCGCGACTGACATAAAGATCATAAAATATTTCCATACACCAAATATAGTTGACCTATTGCATATAGTATAAGAAAAAAAGACCAAAACTCAAAAACTTACCTTTGACAACTGAACCATGAAAACGAGGTCAAGGTCAGATGACACCTGCCAGCTAGACATGTACACCTTACAATCATTCCATACACCAAATATAGTAGACCTATTGCATACAGTATAAGAAAAACAGACCAAAACACAAAAACTTAACTATAACCACTGAACCATGAAAACGAGGTCAAGGTCAGATGACACCTGCCAGCTAGACATGTACACCTTACAATCATTCCATACACCAAATATAGTAGACCTATTGCATACAGTATAAGAAAAACAGACCAAAACACAAAAACTTAACTATAACCACTGAACCATGAAAACAAGGTCAAGGTCAGATGACACCTGCCAGCTAGACATGTACACCTTACAATCATTCCATACACCAAATATAGTAGACCTATTGCATACAGTATAAGAAAAACAGACCAAAACACAAAAACTTAACTATAACCACTGAACCATGAAAATGAGGTCAAGGTCAGATGACACCTGCCAGTTGGACATGTACACCTTACAGTCCTTCCATACACCGAATATACTAGACCTATTGCTTATAGTATCTGAGATATGGACTTGACCACCAAAACTTAACCTTGTTCACTGATCCATGAAATGAGGTCTAGGTCAAGTGAAAACTGTCTGACGGGCATGAGGACCTTGCAAGGTACGCACATACCAAATATAGTTATCCTACTACTTATAATAAGAGAGAATTTAACATTACAAAAAATCATAACTTTTTTTTCAAGTAGTCACTGAACCATGAAAATGAGGTCAAGGACATTGGACATGTGACTGACGGAAACTTCGTAACATGAGGCATCCATATACAAAGTATGAAGCATCCAGGTCTTCCACCTTCTAAAATATGAAGCTTTTAAGAAGTGAGCTAACGCCGCCGCCGCCGCCGCCGCCGCCGCCGCCGCCGCCGGATCACTATCCCTATGTCGAGCTTTCTGCGACAAAAGTCGCAGGCTCGACAAAAACCCATACGGCTAAGCAGACAACTGCAGGGCGTTCTAGGTGCGGATCCAGCATTTTGAAAAAGGAGGCCCCTAGCAAGCCAACGTTTGGAGTGTAACGTGTAAAACGTCTATGCATTTATCATATATGACCCCCTCCCCCTAAATCCACCCCTGGGACCAGACAACACCAAAACAATTATACTTTTAGAACTAGCTAGTGTAAATGCCCTGATCAAAACTATCAATTACAATTTTTCAATGGAAAGATACCCGATGACTGGCGAACAGCAAATGTCACACCGTTATACAAGAAAGACCAGAAATTCTAAACAGTAAACTACATGCCAATATCACTAACACGCATCTGTTGTAAAATAATACACCATACAGTTACCAGTAACATAACCAAACAAGCAGAGGATCATACACCTGCTCAAACATGGTTTCAGGAATAGAAGATTTTGTGAAATACTTGATCATTGAATATATTGACAATATCACAAATTATCTTGAAAAAGACTCCAATATAATTATACTAGAAGCAAAACAAACAGATGCATAAAAGAATTTATCACAAACAGAACAGAAATAGGCGAAACATCTGGTCAGGTGAAAGTAGTATCCGGAGTACCACACGGATCAGTTTTATGACCCAGTCTTTTTTTCGTATAAACGACATACACAAGGCCTCCAATCAACAATGAGAATATTGGCGGTTGATACTGTAGTCTGATTGACAATTTCCTCGGACAACGACTGTCATAGACTCCAAGAAGACTTAGACAAACTGGCAAAATGGGAGCGTTCTCATAGTCACATTAAAAAAATACTCAATCAAGTGTACATACAAGCTTAACAGCTATACTCCGGAACATGAAACATCTACTCAATACTTGAGCTGCACCATCGCAAAGGATCTATACCGAACCCCAAGGAAAAATTCAAAACGGAAAGTCCCTTATCAAATGGCAAAATGGCAAAATCAAAAGCTCAAACAAATGTAAAACAACTGTCATACTCCTCATGTAGAATATGGAAACAGATGATATGTCGTGCTTCTTTACACCTCGTTTGTAAGCTTTTCCATCCTAGTTCAGTATTCATTTTACGGCACAATGTATATTTTGGAATGTCAAAAATTTAGGGCTCCTGCTAAATTAAAAAAAATAAATACGGCTGATATATCATTCAATGGTGTTGGTCACTTGAGACTTGAATTTCTTTTTAAAAGTGGACCTTATTCGTGACCAACGTCAAGGACTGGAACAACAATATGTTATAAGTCTCTAGTAACCAACACCACTAATAACCATATCAGCAATAGCGATTTTGACCAGTTTACCAGTTTTTAATTATGCGCAACTTATATTCTACTTGTTGAATGTTGGCAGTACATGGAAGAAAATGACAAAATGTGAAACAATTAAAAGGAAAAACAATTTACGTACAAAACAATAATCGAAAACATTTACAACACCATTTTCTTTTCCATATTAAGCAAATTAGCAGGATCCTTAAATTTGATATTCCGAAATATAGATGTAGCCGATTAACTGCATGAATCTTTCTTTTATAGCGATCAGAAGATCTTAATTTTCAGTCATTTTTCTACATAATGTTTCCTGCATGGATCATTCTTTTCTCTCTCGTTTGATCATGGTCTTGTTAGGGCTTTTTTTTAAAAATTGCGATTCGTCTTAGAATTGGAAATTCTTACGAAACTTCTAGAAAAGTAACCTACATGCAAGTCTTTTATTAATCTAAACAATTCGGCAAGACTGGATGTCTTTTTGGTCTTTCGTGTCGTTTGGATTCTATCCTATTGACGTAAGCCAATATCTCCAAAGTCGATCGATCAATTCCTCACCCGAGTTTGCCCTTATATTTGTATTTTGTAGGTATCTTCTAACTGGTCATTGCTGAATGAAAATTTTAAGCAACCTACTTGTCATAAAATAGATAAAATGAAAAGACACATTACAATTTAAGATTCTATATTTATTGGGGCAATGGATTCTAGAGTTTTTCGTCCTTCGTCTGTTATTTCAAAAGATAAAGAAGCCGCACTTTCCCGACGATTCAAAGTTTTTTTCTTCGTTTCTTGTCTAGCTTCTATATTTTGAAACAATGCGTTGTGTTTTTCTTTCCTTGATTTTTCTACCAATGATTGTAAATGTTTCATAGATTCTGATAATCGTCCGACCGTATCTTTATTTGCAAGATGTCGGACATGAGCTGCTTGTCGTCTGCCGTATACCATTTCACTGTAAAAGACAGATATTTAGATATATTTTGTCTACAAAAAGACTAACAGTATTCATATGTTTTTACAATATATTTACCTTTTCTTTTGAATAAAACATTCATTGAAATTTGCGGATTATATATTACATCAAAATCTATCAAACCTAAAGAAATACAAAATACGCATTTTAAGAAATCCATGTTAGTGCTTTGGTCGTACTCCCTTAAAACAAATGTATCTAAGGAACAGATCATATCTACTGAAATCGTTCCCGTAAAATAGTCTTCAAATTTAAGGAAAGCAACACTATTGTGAAAGTGACATCCCTACTTTTACCCAAATTATTTGTCTCAAATTTGAATGTAGAGAGAGAGAGAGAGAGATACTTACTGAAGATCAATGATGTGATTGTCGTCTAGATCCAATTTGTTCATCAGTGTTTCTAGTTTTTCTTCCGATAGTTCCATGGAAAATCTCTGTCAATTAATGTGAATATTAAATCATTAGACTAAGGCATCTTACGTAAGATAATATAATTATGTAAGGTCAATTTAATGTAATAAGTCTTTAGTAGGTAAGTTGTATTAGGAAGGCAAATTTTTTAATGGCATTGTCATTGTTTCTTCCGTATAATTACCTTTTACATTTTCGACCTCTCTTAAAATTTATCTTCGCTTCAGAATAACTAATATAAAAATTCGATTGTAAAATATATTTATGGTAAGAGTTTCTCGATTTCTTTCACATGTGAAATTATCGGTTAAACTTTGACTGGAAAATCACCGTATTTTATCACAACCGATGTAATATCCAGAAGTATCTGGATTCCAAAAGTAAAATATCATTATTATATATTCTCGTACACACGGGAAATATGTGCTTTAATACCTGTTATCTCTATTATACACAAATTTAGACTACGACTGGTCTAAGTTTTGTGCCTGTTGACCTATTGACGATTGAAAAACAAACATTGTTTTAAGTTTACTGTTGTAACGCTACGCGATATAAACATAAGGAGATGTGCTATGATTGCCAATGAGACAACAATCCACCAAATTTCAAAATGAAGTGGATGTAAGCAATTATAGGCAACCGTACGGCCTTCAACAAGTTTTGTAATGAACCTCGAGATCTTATCGAATGGACTCAAAACTTTCCAGTTATTATCACAAATGACAATAGATTATGAGAACATTCAGCTTATACGTACCAAAAATCCATCTTTAAGTTCTTGTTTTGTAATATTGTTATCTGAATCTTTATCAAATTGACGGAATAAATCAATTAATCGCATATTCTCCTGTCTCATGAGTTCAAACAATAACAACATCGGGTCATAGTTCTCTAGTTTCTTTTCTCTCAGTATCGAAGTTATTTTCTTTTTGTTCGGTTCTTTGTGGTATACATATATATCTCGAATGTTTTGAAGTTCTTCATATGCATCTATAAATTCGTCGTTTACAGGAGTATCCTGTGAACAAAACAGATGTACATGTAGCATGTAAACTAATAAATATTTTATATTTAAACATAAACTGACAACAATAGTTTACTATGATAAGGCCAAATAGGCCCCTTAAATTTGAAAAAAACCATATGATAATAGATCTACCAAATTACCTCCTCCCGGTCTTATCAAGACATTTGGCTGTCGGATATTTTATTTCAATTATCAAATTTGGATTATGAATTGGGACGTCTGACATTTAATGCATTTAATGCCAAACTGCTAAAACAAAGAACAGGAAAAGACTCATTTAGAGACCTTGTCATCAATATTTAGACAAAGCAAAGCTTAAGGTTTATCCAATATAATTTTACTACAATGATGAAAATAAGAGGGCTAACCAAAATTTTATGTTTACTGTCTTTTTACAAAAATGTAAATTGGTGTAACATATCTTATTGGGTAAGTTTTAGCTCATAACTATTTTTACAAATAAAATCGTGTATAATATGACAATTAAGGTCGAATACTTTAATTTCAACATAATTTTGACTTCATAGTGACAAGTGACAACCTTTAGTTTGAAATAAAAGCTCTGTGACCCATTATTTTTTCATATATTGAAAAAGGGATGATATAAACAACATTTTGGCAAATTATTGAAAAAAATCTATCGATTTTTTTTAAGACCTCTGATCTACCTTAACAGGGCCATGCTGAAGAAATAACGCATCAAGATTACTAGTTGACCACTGCCGAAGACGTTCAAGCAACAGCCATGATAAAGAATAGCAATAAAAGGTCTGTTCGATCAATAAACTTCAGTATTTCATATTATTTTATGTGAATATCGTCATGCATATTGATTTCTTTTTCCTATTTCTAATGTTGATGTTTTAAATGGATTTGTGTGACCCTAAAGTGTACCAAAATAAACAATCAGTAGTAAATAATTTGAAACGTACATTTTTTTTTCTGTTGATCACTATTTTGCTATGTATATACGATATACAGTAAAATTTTCAATTTGTAAACGTGAGGCTAGCCGAGTGTTTGAAATATTTAAGATTTGAATGTCGGAAATTGAGAAATATCGTTTTGCATGAGATTCGGCGGTGGAATCTGTTTCTAAAATGATTGTAGATAACACGTAGACAAATTAAATATTGTTTTTTTCAATCATCTAAAAACTGATGTTCTTCGTATGTGACGTCATCAGGCATGATCGCCCTTTTGCGGGACATCATAATAACAATTTCAGAGAAAGGCAGGAATATTTGACGTCATAATTGCATCTTGACCAATGAAGAACTGACATCAAACAAACGAATTGCATGCGTAGAATTAAAGCACGTACAAAGAAAACGCTAATAGGTTTTAAAAAAAATCATTTTCCCAAAATATGTTATAGGAGATATAAAAAAATAAATCTCTTAAAATCTTTGATTTTATAGTTTATAATAAAATAAATTTTCAAAAGGTTTTACAAAGTTCGGCATCAAATGTGTTTTTTCTCCCCCTCCCCCCCCCCCCAAAAAAAAAACAAAAAAAAAAACAGAACTATAAACAGTTTATACATTCATATAAACAGACAAATATTAAGATTTCTATTAATAACTTATACATTATATTTACCTCTAAGTGTAAATTCTTTAATACAGATGTCGATGAAAGTTCAAGGCATTTTAGTATAGCAATGGCACCATCAGTTGTAAAAGGGTTACTAGTCAGCTGTGGAGTTAAACAATAATTGATAAACATCAGTTCTAAAAGAGCTCAAGGTCACCTGTGGAGTTACACATTTGTAATAATAGATATGAACACTGAAACAGTGATTTACATTACAAAAAAATGTATTATAAAATAAAAAGAGTGTAAAATATATTTTGATATTAAAATAATTGAACTTTGCTATAACAGTATTAAAATGAAGTATACTAATTATACTTAAAATACTTTTAAAAGGAGTAACTGTAGCAAATGGACAACGATTGACAAAACTTCAGTAATCTAAAGGACTCTTAAGTATCCCGCACAAACTATGGCATGTGAACAATACACAAATAATACTATAACGTAAAGCATTGGCATGACATGACTACCATAAGACTTTGAACTACGATAGGTTATGAACAACTGAGTAAACGTCAATAAGGCAGAAACCAAACAAGACAAATAACCAAACGACATCAAGAGGTCATTTGCATTTGATGCTTTGCATGCAAATTATATTGTGTTTTATCGCTATAACATTATTTGAAAGTACTCGTTATGAAAATACGAAAGTTAATGAAAAAACATGTCTCGTTTATATAGATTGATTGATTGATTGGTGTTTAACGCCACTTTCAGCACTATTGTGCTATTTCGTGTTGGTCAGTTTTTATTGGTGGAGGAAGCCAGAGTGCCCTGAGAGAACAACCGACCATCGGTAGGAAAACTGACAATCTCAGTCAATTAAGATTGGAGTCAAACGCACCTGCAACGTGCAGGATTGGAACTCACAACCTCAGTGTTGACAGGCTAGTGATACAGTGGTTCGACTACTTAGACCATTCGCCCACCGAGACCCCTTCAATTATGCAGACATAGATTTAATTCTGAAATAAGGACATCATTCGCTCAGAACTTAAGTCATTAGGTTCTATGACGGCACTTTTGTCTTAATCAACCTAATCGTCTGATCCATTGCACCACGTAAATAATGTGCGCATGTGTTGAAAAGTCTTAAAAATAATACCTAAAATACGGCATCAATTTAAGATCATTTTATAGAAAGGCCTTGAATTTTAGTGGACTTATATGATTATATGTCTGATACCTTAGGCTAGTTCCTATTTTTAGATACTCAGGGGCGGATCCAGGATTTTAGGTTACAGGGGGCGCAAATTCAAATTTTCGCCGAGCGGAGCGAGACAAAAATATTTTTTGATGTAAAATTATCGAAACATTCTTTATTAAGCTGGGGACAACACATGCTTTGCAAATTTAAGAGGGGCACGCACGCCTGCCCGCCACGCCCCCGCCTGAATCCGTCCCTGATACAACTCAAAGTCTGATGTTTTAAAAGTTTAGCCATTCAATAAAAATTTCATTGTCCATATCTTTGGTGAATATTATCCCTCGCACAATAATATTACTTTTAGCAAGCTCATGCGACGTATTAGTCTACTCGTGACAATGCTCATCAATATAAGTGCAATAACTCGGTAATATAATTCTTTAAATGTATTACCTTAACAGTTTCCAGTGTATCATTCAGTTTTAAACCCTTTAGAATGTGACCGAGGTGTGTGAAATTGATTCTAGTGTTTGTTAAATCTAGTTTGCGTAGAGTATGGTTTTTCATGAAATATTTTCCAAAGGCAATAGACCCTTCTTCGCCAATTCCATTCCATGAAAGATTGACATCTACTAATTCTACGTTCTCCTAAAACAAAACAAAAAAACAAAACTATTATGGAAAAAACAAAATTCATATAAATCATTTGTTATTGTATTTTTCTTGACTATTTACCGGAAGTTAAATTCGGGGGCTCAATATTAGTATTTGAGGGCAAATATCGGTATTGGCCCCGAGGACAAAAAACCTACTCTGACGCTGTTATTGGACATGCATTAGCGTACTTTTTAGTACAAAGCATAATTATAGATAATAACATGTCCATATGGAAAAGGACATGTTATAATCTATTCAAAATGCTTAAAAAAGAAGAAAGAATTTAATTACTCCGTCCGGAAAAATCATACATTTTTTGCCTTCACTGATGAACGCTTATGACGTCATTACAGGACACACTGACTAGTTATTTGCCCTGGGCAGGAATATGACTAGGACAAATCTTCAGTTATTGCATATGAAAAACCCAATGTTTTCGTAACAACTGTGTGATAAATAATTTTATTCACTTGCACAAGTCACTAACTGCAGATCGTATAATGTCGAGTCAAACAGAAATGAAAATGACATGTATTGATTTTTATCGATATCTGGATTTTTTTGTCTCGCAATGTAATACCGAACAACGAAGTTAAGTGCTTTTGACAATGAATTCATAATTGTATAGTACCAAATACTTACACAAATAGCTTTTACAACTTCAGATGCACCACGTCCTCTTATATGATTCCAACTTAAATCTAAACACCTAAGTGTAAGGTTAGAGGCTGTAAAAAAAGAATAAATTAGGCTTGTAAATGATGTATTATGAAATTTGTCCATTGTAACTTTTCTGCCATCAGAAAAAATGCTCCTGTAACATCTTTAGTTTTCTGTGTAGTGTTTTGCACATTTTTTTCTCTCAAGAATATGGTATTGTCTGGGGTTTTTTCTAAGACCCCGTTCACACTTGGACATTTAGATCGATTTAAACTAGATCGGTTCACTTTAAATAGATCGATTTAAGCCCAATGTGAACGCTTTGAATCGATCTTGAATCGGTATAAACTAAAACACCAAAAGAGTAGACTAGTTTAGTTTGAATCGATCTAAAGTGAACCGATCTAACTTTTAATGTGAACGCAGATCTAAACTAGTACGATTGAATCAAAAATAAATTATGCGCATGTTTGGCGGAAAAATTACACTTGCAATTTATTACAAAATGGATGACCAACTTAAAAGGGATGAAAATTAACGAAAACGATACGAACAGCAGTATCAACATTTGGACTTGTAATTCAAGTGAAATAATAACTTCCTCAATTATTTTTTTGCAAGCGTATGTATCAACACATTAATTTGATCAAATATTTCTATTTATACACAATGTTTACAATTTCCCGGGTAATTCGGTCAGATCGATTGCATTTTTACTTGCAGTGTGAACGCAGTGGTTTAGATTAGACCGATAGAGATCGTTAGGATTAAAGATAGTTTTAACGCTAACTGGTTTTATTTAGATCGATTCAAATTTAGATAGATTCAAAAATGCTAGTGTGAACGGGGTCTTAAACTTGTGATCTTTTATTGTCCCTTTAAAATCTTCTGTCTGTTTTTTTACGACAACCTAAGTTATCATAAAACTCGTATGTTCATGAAATATTTTGGAGGTAGTGGTGTGTATTTTATCTTTTTAAATGTATCTTCTAATGTAAGTTACATAAAATAAATACACAATACTTACATATGGATTTTGCAATTGTACTTCCAGCTTCATCATCCAGATCGTTCTCTCGAAGGACTAACTCTACGATGAAATCATTCTCCTGGTGAAAATTAAACATAGAAAAGTCACGAGAAACTCATAATTGAATACAAAAAACCCCCCCCCAAAAAAAAATAACAACACATGTTAAAAGCCAAAATCCTTTCGAAAGCAAACTGGTTTACTGTACACCTCTCCAAAATCCTTTTCAGTGCTCACAATGAAATAGTCGGCTTGGACTAAAGCTGTATTACAATTGTATAATATTTTCAAAGTAAAACTATAAGAACAATGTATGTGAAATTAAAATCAAATGCCTCACCTGAATCATTTTTGCAATAAATACGGCTGATTTTGCGTTCAGATGATTGGCTAAAAGAAAAAGTAGAATAATTATGTATGAGAAGAGCATCATAACAGGTATCAATTTATCATCACTTTCAAACTAATTTCTCATTGTCTTTAAATTCACTCAAGGTAGTGGAGGTTTAAGAAAACAATTATTTTATTTTACGCGAAAATTTCTATTTTGAGGTTACGACGCACTGATCCAGTGATATTTAGTAAAATCTTATTTCTTAACATGAGGTTTATATGATGACACGTTGATCCAGTGGTATTCAATAAAATGTTTTTTTTACTTTGAGGTTCTGATGAGACACGGATCTAGCGGTATTATGTAAAATCTTATTTCTTACTATAAGCTTATGATGACACACTTATCCAGTGGTATTCAGTAAAATCTTATTTCTTACTTTGAGGTTATGATGACACACTGATCCAGTGGTATTCAGTAAAATCTTATTTCTTACTTTGTGGTTTTGATGACACACTGATCCAGTGGTATTCAATAAAGTCTTATTTCTTACTTTGAGGTTATGATGACACACTTATTGAGTGGTATTCAGTAAAATCTTAATTTTTACTTTGAGATTATGATGACACACTGATCCAGTGGTATTCAATGAAATCTTATTTTTGACTTTGTGGTTTTGATGACACACTGATCCTGTGGTATTCAGTAAAATCTTATTACTTACTTAGAGGTTTTGATGACACAGTGATCCAGTAGTATTCAGTAAAATCTTATTTCTTACTTTGAGGTTATGATGTCACACTGATCCAGTGGTATTCAATAAAATCTTATTACTTACTTTGAGGTTATGATGACACTGATCCAGTGGTATTCAGTAAAATCTTATTTCTTACTTTGTGGTTTTGATGACACACTGTTCCAGTGGTATTCAGTAAATTTTATTTCTTACTTTGAGGTTATGATGACACACTTATTTAGTGGTATTCAGTAAAATCTTATTTCTTACTTTGAGGTTTTGATGACACACTGATCCTATGGTATTCAGTAAAATCTTATTTCTTACTTTGAGATTATGATGACACACTGATCCAGTGGTATTCAATAAAATCTTATTTTTGACTTTGTGGTTTTGATGACACGCTGATCCAATAGTATTAAATAAAATCGTATATCTCACTTGTTACACAGTAATTATAGTAGCTTAATTTGGATTAAGATATTAATAAAGCAAGACGTGGGGATATTGCTATGAGAGAGCAACCCATCGAATATATATGTTTTCCCTTACGTGTGAAGCCATTCTTTGTCTCCTTTTGTTAATCTTTAGACATGGATTTTTTTAAGTAAAAAAAAGTGGCTTATACATCAAGTACAAGTAAAACATTAAGTATATTTGTTATCTAAAAATGTTCATGGTGAACTTACTTGATAAGTCAAGGTGTGTTAATGTTTTGTTACATTTGAGACATTCCTGTAGGTACTTCATTCCTTTAGGATCTATTCCAACACGCGATAATTTCTGAAATACAAGATACAAGTTATATTTACAGTACAATTTAGAAATTGTAAGTGAATTACAATGCAGGGGCGTGAAAATCGTCGGGTCGCCTCATGACACATGAATTAATATAAAATAAAGAGATGTGGTATGATTGCCAATGAGACAGCTATCAACTAAAGTTCACATGAAGTGGATATTTAATTATTGGCAACCGTAAGGTCTTCAACAATGAGAAAAACCCATACCGTATAGTCGGCTTTAAACGTCCCAGACATGAAAAATGTGAAACAATTCAATAGAGATAACTAACGGCCTAATTTATAACAAAACAGTTTACGAAAAACAAATAAGACAGACATGAACCAACGACAACCACTGAACTACAGGCTCCTGACTTGGGACAGGCAAATAAAGAATGTTTGAAAGCACACAAAAATCGATCCATCAATCTTTCAATGCAAATTTAACAACAACATGTCCAATTTCCCATTTTGTTCAAAATAGTCTTCAACAGTATTTGTAACACATCTGATTAAAATCTAAATGTTATGAATATAAAGATATATGGGAAAATCGATTGCGAAATTCTTCAAGCAAAATTGCACTAGATTTCAACAACTTTTGATATTTCATCCCTTGACAGAGTGAAACAAATTCAATGGAAAACAGTCATTCACCTTTTAATAATAAAATGCTTTATCAAAAACTAGAATCACAATACTGAAATTACATTTTTCGCACGCAAATTCTGCCATTAATTTTGAGTAGCACGTACGTTGTGTGGGCGAGTGGGGATATCCAGGTATGCTGCAGTTTGGCAGCTTCTTGTTTTAAATGAATTGATAAAAGATGTAATTATGATTAGTGAGTATTTGATTATTTTCGTAAATTGTAAAAGAACAGAGTTTTTTTTCCAGACAAAGGTAACTATATAACATTTGATTAATAATATTTAATATTAATCTTTTTGATTGTTTGCAAGTGGCCGTTGTTGAAGACAGAGATTAAATTGAAAGAATTTGTACATTTGAAATTTCTTTGTTTTTTTTCTATGGGAAGCACTTTTATTTGAGAATTCTTATATGACGTCGTCATTTTGCTCTGTTAATAAAGCCATATTCTAATGAGCACAACATATATTTGCGCACACACTTGCTGGTTAATGCCTACCAATGTTAAAATGAGCATAGAGCATAATAACATAAAGGAATTATTTCTTAACTATTGTTACTATTGTAACATGATGATCATCCGTAAAATTGGAGTAATTGTACGGTATGACGTCACTGAGTGGAAGTTGTTGTACAGTTGGCTCCTCATCTTAACCATCTCTACTATCTATAGTAAAGATATTTTAAATAATTTCACAGGAAAACACATGAAACCATGACACAACTACATATTATGTCATCTTGCTGTAAAATATCGATCACAATGCAACAAAAAGGAACGCTATATTAAACAAGAGGCTCATGAGAGCCTGATTTCGCTAACCTGTAATTTCAGTTTATGGCATTTGACTTATTTGAAGAAGTTGTCCTATTGGTCTGAAGATTACTTGACAGGTAGATCTAAACCTGTTTAACACTTTCACTTATGGCAGTTTTGCTGTTACTGCTTTAGTTTTTGAGATGAAAGCCAAAAACTTCATTTGACCCCTATGTTCTATTTTTTTCATTTTAAGAAACTGCCGCCATTTTTTTGAATGGATCAAATCCCCGAATACAATCTATAAACTAGATACCCTAAGGAACATTCAATTAAAGTTTTTAAGTATTTGGGCAAGTAGTTTCAGAGAAGAAGATTTTTTGAAAGGTAATTAGACTTTCACAAAAAATGTAAAATAAAAAAGGTTTTAAGGGCAATAACTCCTTAAAGGGTCAATTGACTATTTTGATCATGTTGACTTATATGTAGATCTCACTTAGCTGAACATTTCTTGTCATTTAAACTTTCTCTGTATCTATTACAATATTAAAGAAAATATTCAAAAACAGTAAAATTTAATAAAAATAAACTATTTCCAACAGTAACTCAACAATGGGCTGTCGAACTTGTCTGAAAATTTCATAACAGATAGATCATGACCCATTTATCACTTTAACTCCCTTTCACTTTTGTTCTAACTGCTGTAGTTTTTGCGATATAAGCCAAAAACTGCATTTGACCCCTATGTTCTATTTTAGCCATGGCGGCCATGTTTGTTGATGGATCAAAACTTCGGATACAATTTATAAACTAGATAACCTAAGGAACATGCAGTTAAAGTTTGAAGGTATTTGGCCCAGTAGTTTCAGAGGAGACGATTCTTGAAATGGTTTACGACGACGACGGCAGACGACGGACGACGCCAAGTAATGGCATAAGCTCACATGGGGCCCTTCGGGCCCGGTGAGCTAACAAATCACAAATTAGACACTAGATATTTGTATATATACTATACAAAGGTAGACTTACTACGTGTGTAATAAATACGTTTTCTCTCAAAGCCTCTGCTATATGATGCATCCCCTTACTACCAAGGTCATTTTCTGACAAGTCCAACTCTGTTATTTTGGAATTATTCTGAAAAAGCGAAAAACAAGTATGTTTTGTTAAATGGTATCATCGAATCCAAACACTTCATCTTATTCAATGTGGTTCGAACATTGTAAGAGATTTTTCGTTTTGTTTTCATCGCTGTTCGTACCAAAGACGTGCACACGTCTTTTTTTAATAATTGAGTGATACGGGTCGTTATTTCATTTTTGGTTGTCGCGGATATTATTGAATGCAAAGAAATAGGGAGGGTCCGGTTTAATTGTAGTCTGTAATACCTCTGTTTTTGGAATAATCAGCCGAATCAGATTTTTCTAAAGTGTAATCTGTTTTTTTTAAAAATTATATCAAAGATCTAAAATAGTATAAAAACGCTCTATCTAATGTTATAGCTATTGATGTGGTGTCCCTATACACTTGCAACTAATGGGTTATAAAGCTTTTGGCTTGATTTGATGTCCCTATAACACAGGATATACTTTCAACTAATGTTGTAGCTATTGGTGTTGTGTCCTTAACAGAGGATTTACTTAAAACTAATGTTTTAGCTATTGACCTGATGTGGTATCCCTAACAAAGGTTATACTTACAACTAAAGTTATAGCTATTGACCTGATGTGGTATTCCTAACAAAGGTTATACTTACAACCACTGTTAGAGCTATCGGTGTGGTGTCCCTAGAACACAGGATACACTTACAACTAATGTTATAGCTAATGACCTAATGTGGTTTCCCTAACAAAGGATAAACTTCCAACTACTGTTAAAGCTATTGGTGTCGGTGTCCCTAGAACACGGAATATACTTACAACTAATTTTATAGCTATTGATGTGGTGTCCCTATCAGACAGGATATACTTAAAACTAATGTTAAAGTTATTGGTGTGGTGTCCCTAACAGATGATATACTTACAACTAATGTAATAGCTATTGATATGCTGTCCCTAAAAGAGGATATACTTACAACTAATGCTGTAGCTATTGATGTTGTGTCCCTAACAGAGGATACACTTACAAATAAAGCTATAGCTATTAATGTGGAGTCCCCAATGGAGGATACACTTACAACTAATGTTATAGCTATTGATGTGGTGTCCCTAACAGAAGATAGTTGTAGCTATGTGTGTGGTGTCCCTACACCACATGACACAGGTACTGTTTTAGCTATTTGTGTGGTGTCCCTAACAGAGGATATACTTACAACTAATGTTATAGCTATTGGCCTGACGTCTATTTCCTTCATCATTAGACAAGACAGGTTACACGTAGGTTTTTCGATCTGACGTAGGAACGTTGTGGATGGTAAAAGGTCGTCTTTTTCGCACATGGAGGCATAATATTTTTTCACATCGAACTTTGAAATGTTAGGCTCTGCCTCGGGTTCTGAAAAAAATGATGTGATGTTTGTAAGAAATGGCGAGAAGAAGTTTCATCAGATTCATGTTAGTACTTGAGTAACCAAAAGTTATCCTTAGAGAATATTCTGAGTTTGAAGTAGTTTAAGTAGCACCAAAACCAACTTTAAAATAAAAAGAAGTTGAATAGGACAATAATGACATTGTCGACAGATAAAGCCATTCGTTCCGTTGGTTGATATAGTCTAACGTTTTATTTTGTCAGGGTTTATGGACTTGCCCCTTTATGAATTTACTATGGCATTTGGTATTTTTATTAATGCTTTTTTTTAGAAGTCAATATTACCAAAAGTAAAGCACGGCAATATCTAACATATATTTCCATTGCCATAGGAAGATATGAAAATTCGTTCACCTAAAAAAAATCTCCTGTTTCCCGATATGAATTTTCGAGGGTGAACTTGACAAATATTCCCATCTCTCTAAGCCGAGGGAAATGCATGTTTTATTCCAATGATTATTCCTTAGTCTTAATATGCATAACATTAACAGAATGTCAGAGGATCACAAGGAGTAAAACAGTATTGCATACACGAGAGAATTATTTTCACTGCAAATTACTAAATGTTTCAGGTATGCTGAAAACTATCAGTGTGTATTTATCAATATGTCTGATGGTCAAAACACATAAAAAATTACTTAGTACAAACATTACATATTCATATTAAAAGTAAATACTTTATAGGAAAATTATTTCGAACGTAAAAGATGAAAAATGCATTTAAGTAAACTAAATAAAATAAACAGAAATATGTACTGCATATCTATAATGCATGGTGAATTTTCAACAAATACCTGATACTGGAAAAAACATTAAGGCAGGGACATATCCGTAATATATGTGTAGTTCAGGTCTCAGACAGGATATATAATGTGACATTACCGGCTGAGGGATTATAGTCAAGTCGACTTCGGCTCAGGGAATACAAACCCTAAGCCGGGAACATCACATGATATACCCTGTTTGAGACATGAATAGTATATATTGTGCAATATCACGTGGGATAGTCTGAACCAATCAAATATCGATTAAGCTATCAAATTGAGCATACAGTGGAATCACACCGAAAGTAAAAATGGGGACATTTCCGACAGTTCAATATGGCTTTTTGTCATTTCAAAAGAAAAACCCTTGTCATATTCTACTGAAGACAATACTCAACAATGCTTGTGCGATCCTACACAACAATATATATGGATTCTTTGACATGTTAGAAATTAATGTATTAAGTTTCTAAAAACGCTGAAAATCAGTACAATTATGGGAGAGGCTAAAAGGTTAAGCGAGCTTATGCCGTCTTTTCTGAAGCTAACTTCATGGCAAAATTAAGCATTCCGTTAAATTAATCGTTACTGAAAAAAATATTTCTTATTCTTCAAGCAACAGAAAAAAAAAGGTTATTACATTTTTGTATAGGTTTTTTTCATGTTTTCACGATCACAATACTGATTATCCAAACTTTTTTTTCCTGTTAAGCAAACTCGTAAAAAATAAACCCTCAGAAACACATGACGTGCACTAAAACTTTAAAAAATATGTTTCTTTTCTTCTATATGTAGTAACATGTGAAGTAAGGATACACATTATTAGGGAGTAGGCGGGGTGTCATCCCAAAATAAAGCATTCTTTCCTGGATCCCGAAAAATAGTCATTAATTCCCGAGTCCTGAGAATCATGAGAAAAACATGACCTTGTGCAATGCCAAAATATAGGTATCAACAGATTGCGGTACCGTGAAAGTGTATATGTGTATAAAAATACTATTTCGTATGGTTTTAATTTACTGATAACAAAATCAATATTTATACCCATAAAAACAATAAAGCTGGCCTTCACCTGTGTGAAAGTTCCCAAAAAAGGCCAAAATATAGCATTGATAATAAACACCAAATCAAAAAATACAAACCATCAAAGTAATATGCATCTAGTTCCTCTTCCGTTAGATCCTCCACCTCAATCGGTGTACAGGCACGGTTTACTTTTGGTGTAGATATCCGTCTAGCAGCAGTAAGGAACATTGTAGTTTCTCTCATCTTTTTTTCGTTTTCCATATTTTCATCCTTCCTACTGGTATTGACAGCAATATCTTGTGATACTGTGTAATTGTCATCTCCATCCTGTAAATTGTATTTTGAATTAGGCTCTACAGATTTAGCCCGTTCTATTCGTACTTGTTTACTGTCTGCCAGAGTTCTAGATCCCTTGGCACTATGTCGTAACTTCATTCTAGGATCTGGTGTTAGAGTCATTACTGATGTCATCTTTCAAATCTGTCATATACAAGAATAGCAAATCACAAAAAAAAACAAAAAACTCCAAGGTACATGTAGTAACAATTCAAAGATATGTCAGAATATCAAATTGCAATGTATAAAACATAATAGTACATAATTTAATTAGAGAGTAGACTGTTACTTTAGGGTTCTTATGGGGAAATAAATAAACTGACTTTCACAATGTTATAATAGTAATAACGTTAACAAATTTCCTTTATACAAGAACGAAAAGAGTCATGGAGTACACATAAAACAGACAGCAACCCAAAAACTCATTAAAACTGTTTTGTTTATTTTGATTGAAGGAAAAAATTACATGGCCAAATGAGAAAAATATAATTCTAAAAGCACAATTTCTCTTAGGTCTTCCTTATTAGCCTCTTATTCAAAATATCCATTTCAAACTTGAATGGGTTTTAAAAGTTTTATTTACTTTTAATCTTCTTTATTGGCTTATTCAGTTTATAAACAAACGCATTTTGATTTTAATACCGCTTGAAATATATAGAATAAAGGTTTATATTTAGAACGATTTAAAATTTCTCATAATTAATAACATTTCTAAAATGATATATAATAAACAAAATGATTTAAAAGTTATTCTCATATCTAAAAACATTTCAGCAATCAATTTTAACTTTCTCGTCGAGAAAAAAAGACGTTTGAAATGGTCAATGGAGAATCTTGATATATATATATAAAAGAGATGGAGTTATTTCTCCTTTATCATAGAACCAATATCTTCATTGATAAAAAGGAATTGTAACAGTAATAAAATCGTATATTTCATCGTATCTTCTAAATGTCCATTCACTAAAGAGGATAAAGGAAAGCTAGGGAAAATATATGCCTAGTGCCATGTTATTATTTCTGTCCATGATATGGATATTTTGCTTGATCGTTTAGACACTGAAATTAAAAATAATTAGCGCCCTACCTTTTCATCGAAATGTCCATATATCCAAATAAAAAAATAATTAAAGTGGATCTAAAGAAAGTACAAGTTGTACTGTTTAAACATGTCTTTCAATTAGCAAATGTTATGGAATACAATTTATTGAATAATTATGTAATTTTGTACTAATTGCGTTTGTTTTTTAATCGGCTTACATAGATCTTTCATTGTATATGTCAAAGTTAAAATATAGTCAATGTTTTGAAGTGTTTTATTTAATTCTAAAATAGCAATTAGTTTGATTTTATATTTTGGACACGAGAATGGGTTTAGATAATGCATATATTTTTCTTTATAAATAAAAATGAATACCTGTATGACTATGTTTTGCACTCCAGATTGAGTTCGAGGCCTTATTGTTCTGATAGATATTGTAGTTTATTCCTGTAGTGCTCCAATGCATAAAAGAAAGTTATGAACCAATAAAATTATAAATACGCGAGGTAAGTCATAAACGGGATGCCGAATAGTTATTTATAAGTTTACTAGACTCCGAACACAAAAAAATAAAATTTAGCAATATCGGCGAATACCAAACAATGTCTTCATTTTTGACTGGTCTATTCATTCACTCAATGTTTATATCTCCCTTTGTAAAGGAAGGATTATGAAGTTATTTAGTAAAGAAACCTTATGGGTATTCTTGATACATTGTAATTGATAAAAAATAACTTGCAAATATTGTCAGATCTCGTTAAACAGTGTGTAAATATGGGATATAAAATTAGCTGTATTGTTATACATCACAGATAATAACCAAGTTAATAAAGACCCGTCTAAACTTCATTTAATAGAAAGAAATGACATCGCTTAACGCAGGAACATATATTTTGACATACAGTTCCCAGCTTAACGTTACTTTGAAGAAAATTTTGTTTTAAATAGGAAAGAATCCTCCAATTACATTATGGACATTAACCCAATAGGACTGACTCTATGTCAATCTAATATAACCAGTAATTGTTGTTCTTTTCTTGGTTGGATATTTCAGCTTCACACTAAAAACTGGATAAAAATATTTACGACAAAACAGACGATTTTTCGTTCCCTATTGTAAAATATCCTATTTTTGACAGTGATGTCCCTTTGGCCCTTTCTTGCGATGTATTTATTTCCCAACTCGTTCGCCATGCCCGTGTCTATAGTGATGTTTTTAGATTTCAATGAGCGTAATCTATGTATGATTGGTAAATAATACTATCATGGATTTCATTTCTCCCCTTTTTCAATTCTTCCATAGATACAAAGATTTGATTTGAAAGTAGTGCTGTACCTGCATAGACACATAATTTAAAACTGGATATCACATCCGAATTTAAAAGGTAATGTTGTTTATAGAGCCCTTAACATTAGTAACGATTCATCTAAAATTATGAAATATTTGAATAAACTTATTCTTAATTTTAACACAGTAGTAAGATATTTGAATATTGTCTTTATAGATACTAAATTGATTTTATTTTAATAGATTAATAAATACATAAACATTATATCTTTGCTATCCACTTAGTATGAAACTTATGGTCCTACTTCATGTGGATGCTTATATTTTGGCATACAAGGTAACAAGGTCATATTTTCTCAGACTTTCGTTAGTTTTCTATCTGTATTGTTGCACATTTGGATAGTCGGGCCCTTTGATGCTTACTATACAGTTTATGTCTTGCTCATTGTTAAATGCCATACGGCTTTTTATATCCTCGTCCTTTCGTCTTTGGTAGATAGTTCTCTAAATATGTTTATATTGTAAATTCTTTTGCAAAATTTTGGCAACGGCATTTTGCTAAGTTAATATTTGAACACAAGAAATCATAATAAATACAATTCTGCATAAAAATTTTAAAATGCATCTTATTTAAATTATGAATGAAGGAGAGCTCATACTTCTTTTTCAGGAATTAAAATTTTCTTGGATTTTAAAAGATTTACGTCAATCAGTAAATCTCTAGGAAGGCATATTGGGCATTTTGTGGTTTCCTCTGACGTCAATATTTTTGTATTGATAAAATATATTTTCTGTCGTAGCTCAAAATTTGGTGTGGTATTTTTGTTTTCCGACTAAAATCTAGAAACAATTTTATGTAATTGTAATTTCACATAAAAACATGAATGTCTATCATGGTTGCTTAATATACGTCGTTTGGTCTTTGGGGGATAGTCGTCTCATTGGCAATCATACCACATTTCATTATTTTATATAAGAACTTAAGTTTTGTCAATTTGTTTATATGATTTAATTTAAGTTTTAGTATGAGACTTATAGAACTACAGGTGAACATTTCAATTATTCTGACCTAATCTGCCTTGTCATTGATTAGCACAGGTGTCAGACCATTACATTTAGGACACAAAAGATTTAAATTTGTCTACCGTCAAAAAAGCTCCGTTATAGAAAAAATAACTATAGGTCTTTATAGCCCGATGACCAGAGTCAACAACTTTATTTTCACCAAAAAAATCATTAAATATCTAATTTCGATTAAAATACCTTTTTCTTTTCAGTAACATAATTGCAAACTTGCATATATTTAAAGTTTAAAATATGATTAAAGCCAAAATATACAAGTCGAAAATATAAAACGTATGACAACATAAAGGACAGAAAAATAAAGATATAAAATAAAATAAATTAAAAGTCAAACATTCAACACGTTCCTTACTTGAGATAAGCATGACTCTAGAGGGATTGTAAAAATTGTCAAGAAATAGCGAATAATGTCCACAGATAGGCAATATTGTCCAGGGATATGCAAGATTTTCAAGTAAGTAATTTTTCAACGTGTTTTTTTTTAAAATGCTTTGATTAATCGCTGATATACAAAAATTCCCGACCAATGCGCTGATAAACAAAAATTCCCGACCAATGAGCTGATATACAAAAATTCCCGACCAATGAGCTGATATACAAAAATTCCCGACCAATGAGCTGATATACAAAAACACTTAATCAAAGAGAAGGTTGAGTAACTACTAAATAGTGTAACATTGCTACACACTATATATAAAGATAAAGAGACGTGGTATTATTGCCAATTAGACAAACATTCAATAAAGACTAAAAGACAAGGTTGTGAACAACTACAGGTCACAGTACGGCAATACATGTAAACGCCATACCGTAAAGCAATCTGCATTGTATTTGAGATTGTCTAATCCTGCCCTCCTTTCCCCGAATGTGACATACAGAATGAGACTTATCACAGGGTTTGTACTTACATGAGCAACACGACTGGTGCCACATGTGGAGCAGGATCTACTTACACTTCCGGAGCACCTGAGATCACCCCGTTTTTTTGTGGTGTTCGTGTTGTTGCTAAGTCTTTAGTTTTCCATGTTGTGTTTTGTATTCTGTTGTTTGTCTTTTTGTCTTTTTCTTTTATTGCCATGGTATTGTCACTTTATTTTCGACTTATGAGTTGGAACGTCCCTTTGGTATCTTTTGCCTATCTTTTTCTTTTTCAGGAACCAATAATCGAAAGATTGTCTAATTCCTCATAATATTTTAAAAGATATTGTTTAGGTTTATCGATTCTTTTCGGGTAATATAGAATTTGCCATACTGTTTGGACTTTTGGTGAACCTTTTATTTATAAAAAAAACTTTCGGTTAATTTATAGCGATCTTTGTGGAGTTGGCTACGTGGTATAAATATAAGAAGATGTGGTATGATTGCCAATGAGACAACATTCCACCATAGACCAAATGGCGTAGAAGTACACACCATCTTACTTTGATAGACCTTTGTTTGTATAGCTAAAAAAAGATTTGTTTGCAGAATAAGGAAGTTCTATAGGTACAATAACTAAGACCTTAATGTCAATAACAAGTTGCTTCATCCTGATTATCTGATATAAAACATTGATTAGAATTGTTTGAAAAGACGGACAAAAATCAATCGTTAATTTGGACTTCTCTGTCAGATTTCTTTTACTTTGTTGATGAATTCATTTATCACCAATGTGAAATTAATGCAGGATTTTGTCATCCAAATTACCTTAAGGCCATAACAAGTTCCATGAAACAACAAATTACTGTCAGTATTAAGACGAATTACAGTCGCTAATGTCTCAAGATTATTTCAAATCTAACTTCAAAGTGAGGCGGAGTGATTTGATGGGGAATCAAGATAGAGTTAATTGATTCAATTATCCTCTAATGAGATTCTAGGATTGTATCTTTTGGAAAGGTCTTGGAGCTTAAACTTAAACGAAGTCCGTTTTTATCCTACAATTATTAGCGAAATTTAGCAATGCATGATAACTTTTATTTAGGTTTGGCAAGATTTTAAAATGAAAAATATAGTTTAACATTTTTAGGACCACTTTCTAAAAACTATATACCAACTTTCACTTTCACTTAAAATTTACTACTTCAACGATCGTTTCAATGAATATAATAAATAGTAAATGATAACTGTAAAATTGACAACAGCACACCAAAGAATAGCAACTCCACAAAACAATGATAAAGTCAGTCATCCTAAAACTAATGGTGTATAATCATTGTATAGTAACCGACAACGAGTCAACACAACCTGTATATATAAGGACCTACAATCAATTTCACAAAAAATCGTAAGAGAAAAAATACTCTGAGGTCATTACATTTCAGTATAACTTACGTTCAATTTTGGTCGTAAGATCTTTTGTAAAAAGAGCCCCTGTCCATTGTTGGTGTTGCCGTCTAGATGTCTTTGGGTAATTGTTGTTGTTGGGTTGCTGTCTCATTGAACTTTATTTTTTTCTGACAATTATTTAATGCTTCTTATCAACACAAGAATTATTCAATGATAAACACACTGTTCCTGAAAACACATTTATTAAATGACAATATTACAAAAAACAGGATATCCTTTAATAACGGAACAAAATAAAAATCCGGAGGAAAACACCAAAGATGCAAATGAAAGGAAATGAAACAAAGAACAAATAGAAAGAAGTAAAAAAAAGAATGAAGTTATGAAGCAAACTTATTTCTATGAAGCCGGTTTAAATAAAAAAAACCAACAATACATGTAATTCTCATATTTGTAATAAATTGCATTCGTAATTCTATTTAAATCAATGAGTTTACGTGATATTTTTATGCGAACTTGCAACTAGCAATACAAAATTACATATTTTGTATGTATACCGTAATGTGTATGTTTTTTCCTAAATCCCAACAAGAAACAAAGTTGTCTAGTAGCAGTTTAGAATATTCACAAATTCATTAGTCAAAGACATATAGCTACAGACAATGAAGAAAAAAGAAAAAAAAATATAATAAACGACAGTCCACCAAATACAATATGTAAATCTAAAGATTGTGACACAGGAAACCCTTAAAAAATCAAAAAGCTCAGGATGGCTAAACAATTCATGTTCTACAAGTGGCACCAATAGTGTCACTCATGCAAGTAAAACTTATAATGGTAAGTCGCATCCAGTGGTGTCCAAATCGTGGAAAAGAGGATCGTTGGTGGCTTCGACATGTTGACCATATCTTTAAACATCTATGACACAGATATTTCATAATGGTTAACCGACTCGTGAAAACTTTGGAGGGGGAACTTAACATCTAATATAAGAGCCCTAGATCTTGATGCAGTAGCTTCCTCGAAAGCCCTCTATCAAGTAAATCATGACATGAAACGCAAGTTCTGGAATATTGTTTCAAATGGGGGATAATAATATACTACAAATGCAAATGCTGCTTGAATGTTCACAATGGAAAAATTGAAATAATCCCTTTTTTTAGTAAAGTTTATTACTCAACCGACCCTCATTGTCAATTTTACGATGTTGTTCACGATATCAAACACGTTACATTTTTGTACAAAATGATCTCTCATACATGTACTTCCGCCACGCCATATTTCCGGATAACATCATGTTGTTGAATTAGATTAAAAAGTAAGTTTAGATTAAGTTGTTTTATAGAAATGAGAAGATGTGGTATGATTGCGAATGAGACAACTCTCCACACAGAAATTAACAACTACAGGTCAACGTACGGCCTTCAACGATGAGCAAAGCCCATACCGCATAGTCAGCTATAAAATGCCCCGACATGGCAAATGTAAAACAATTCAAACGAGAAAACTAAAGGCCTTATTTATGGTCAAAATGATGAACGAAAAATGAATGTGTTACACAGCAACAAACGACAACCACTGAATTACAGGCTCCTGACTTGGGACAGGCACACACAGAATGTGGCGGTGTTAAACTCGTTTGAAGGCGTCAACCCTCCCCGTAAAATGGGACAGTGGTGTAACAGTACAACATAAGAACAAACTATAAAAATCAGTTAAAAAAGACATAACTTGGACATATTTTACTGACTTATGAGTGTTCCACACAAAGTTTTTGTTTAAAACATTCTGAACCACATGTACTTTTTTTCTTGGTGTGGTTCCACATATTTTAAACCTTTGTTATTAATTGTTGGCAATTAGTTTTGTTGACAGATATATCAGAATGCCAAAACCACAGTCTCGGTCTACTTGCAACCAAAAATTCTACATTTTTAGGTTTTGCGGGACTTGTAAAATTGGCCGAATATGTCCAAAATATTGCATATAAATAGAAACAGGCGAGGGGTATACGTCAATAACAGCAACCAGACGAGAAAAAAAGACGTATGGAGGTTAATATTAACTTTCCAAAAATAGACAGATGTCTTTACAGTATGACAGTAATCTTCCGGAGTCTTCAAAAGTTGCGATTATAAATTTAAATGAGACTATCAAAGATTTACCAGTTGACTCTAAATTACAATAAAAAAAAACCAAAGAAATAAAAAAAAAAAAAAAAAAAAAAAACAACTAATGTTAATTTGGTATTTTCTGTTTGAGACTTTCTATGTAAATGAATTCATCTATCAAGGTTTGTCACCCAAAATTTACTTTAAAACATTTAATACCTGTATATGGTGTAGATTTAAATCGTAAATGTAACAAAATAAATCTGAAGTGTGGTTTACTTGGTTATTAAGAAAAGGTTCCCTATTCATTTGGATTTACTTAAAAAGTATTTAACTGGGAATATATAAACATGTTTCAATAAAAATGTATAAACTTGTATAATGTTTGGTAGGAAATATAAATATGCATGTACAATAACTATTGTAAGAAGCACGACACGTGCATGTTCCAAACAAAAACATGCATAAATCTGATGTTCAGTAGTTGTCGTTTGTTGATGTGGTTCATAAGTGTTTCTCGTTTCTCGTTTTTTATATAAATTAGACCGTTGGTTTTCCCGTTTGAATGGTTTCACACTAGTAATTTATTTTTTGGGCACTTTATAGCTTGCTGTTCGATGTGAGCCAAGGCTCCGTGCTGAAGACCGTACTTTGACCTATAATGGTTTACTTTTATAAATTTTGACTTGGACGGAGGGTTGTCTCATTGGCACTCATACCACATCTTCTTATATCTATTATATAAAGTACAATCAACAAAATTTTGAAAAGCAAAATATATAACTCATTATGTAAGAATCAAAACAAAATTGACCTTAGCGGAACAGTCACAAAAGAACAAAGTTAACCTTCCAAGAAACGATATCTTAAGACTTTTTTATGAACCGATAGTGTCCATTATAACGTAAATGTTTAGCAGTGCTGGTATGATCAGCTATTCTTAAATGTGTCTGACATGGTAATTATATTTTTATCCAGCATATAAACATTAAAACCATCTTAAATATCTAAACGAGGTAGAGGAAAATAGACAATCATAACTGAACAATTTAACAAAGGCTTTACTTTCAGGATTAAGTTATGGAAAACACCGAAACTTCTGATGTTTGTTCTAAAAATCATGAAGAGCCACATCTTGGTATGTCGGAGTCAAATGAAGATAACGACCGCACCGACGATGTAAGGATTCATTTTGACTCGACGACGACATTTACACTACACAACACAGACATCAATGACATCAAAGTTATGAAAGACGGCACTATTGTAATCGCTGATTATCATTGGCAGCATGGTGCGGTGGTTACGTGTGACATGCAAGGACAGAATGTGCGGCGAATAGAAGAACCGAGCGGTGGCAGGCCGTTTCGACTAGATGTGATGGATGATGATAATGTCGTCGTTTCCCTCCCAGATAAGGGGGATATTATGTTTGTTGACGTGAAGCGTGGAGTGATTACAGGATGTATGGGTTGTACGGGTACCAACATAGTCTACCGATATGGCGACATATATATTCAAAGTAATGATATTATTTATAAGATACGAAAGGGTGGCCAATCACTAGGAACAATAACTCCGTTTGATTTTCGACCACTTTACTTCAGTGCTACAGACAATGGAGGATTAATATACTGCACTGTACGAAACAGAAATGAATTGATTTGCATGGATGATAGGGGAGTGACACAATACGGAATAACAGCACCATTGATGACGTCACCACACGGCATTACAATCGACGATGAATGGTTTATATATGTCGTCAGCGCAAAATCTCAGAATGTGCATAGATTTCACGAGAGAGGCATACCCTTTCAGAGAATTATCAGTCTGCCGTCTAAACTAAAATCACCGACAATATGTTTTCACTCTGATTCCAAGTCAATAATAATTGGAGATAAAGACACAGTATTTATTTACAAGAAAGAACTAGATTTTTACTAAGATTCCAACTGGTGCGTATATGGAATGCTTTACTTTACTTTGTAAGATTAGTTCTAATTACGTGTTTTACACTTATCGATTGTATTTTACATATTTCTGTGTTTTTGTTTTTTAACTTTGTCAAAATATGTAAATATTGATATTGATTTCTATTCACCGAATTACTATCATCATAATAATACATTTAAAATAAACTAAATGCTTTTGAGTGGTTACTGATATATTATATTTCTTACACTAGATCGAACATATATACCCGCAATAATACTTTCTGTCTGTAAATTTCTATTTCATTAAATTAGAAATTATGTTAACGTAAAATTAATGCACAACCCCCCTAGTCAAATTAACCTTTAAACGGTTTTGACTGTTCTGTTAAGGTTTGTATGGCTTGACATCGGACACGTTATGATTTTTGCTTTCTATTTTGGACTGGAGTTGTACAATGTACCTGTTGAAGTTATTCGAAAAACATGTGTTTACGCACGAAAATCATATCTTACATTTATAGTTTTGCAACAACAACAAAAATAGAAAGAAACAAAAATTATGTATACTCAATGGGTATTTGACAAAACATGTAAATGCGTATGACATTCTCTCTTCCGTTTGACATCCGTTTAATGTTTGAATGTAACAAATTTACGACACATCGACAACAAAAGTATATATCATATTATAAACAGTAAGTTAACTTTCATACATTTGATATAATAATGAATATAAACTGGTAACCCAAAACTCTTTTAAACTCGGGCTAATGAAAGATTGATATATTGTATAGGTTCCGGTCTTTTTGAAAGACTGTATGTTGACCGCTACATTTATTTTTGTTATTTGTACCGAAGGAACATTGTTTCGCTGCCGTACATACTACATGTACACTCCTGTTTTATTTATATAGAAAACGCACAATAAAGGCAATTCAGAAAAATATACTATAATATCTCATTTTTAATTCATAATCAATAACTATTGGTATCTTTTATAATTTTTGCAAATCTTAAAGAACAAAGACCCCGTATTCGACTCTGTGCTATCTCGTGCATCTGGAACTTACGGAAGCGTATTAGGGACATAGTAAACATAAAATTGACAGTGAACTTTTTATTCAAAGTCGAAATTTTGACATTTCAAATCTTAAATTTTCGACTTAAACTTTTCAAATCTCGAAATGTTGACTTTCTAAAATCTTGGAATTTCGACTTTTTAAAAAGTCAAAACTTTGATTTTTTTTTAAACTCGGAATTTCGACTTTTTTAAATCCAAAATTTCGACTTCTTTTGAACTCAAACTTTTAAAATTTCGACATTTCCTCAGTATTTATACGTTTGCGATTATCACATACACAGTCATTTATATCAGCAAGTAGAGAACCATATACGTCATAAACATGATAAGCATTTTTTAATAAACTAAACCATTTTAAAGAGGTTATTTTAGATAGAAAATCTTTTCTTTGCGGAAGAATAAATGAAATATGTTTCACATACAAATGTCTATTTCAAGTCTGGACTTCAGATATGTGTATCAAGACAACCCCGTTATTCCGACACACCTGTATTACGCCATACTTTAATTCAACAGTCTAATATATAAAGACATTGGTTAATAGTTGTGGCATAAGAATGCCAACTTGTAGAGTTTAATCAATGTTCCAGAAAAAGAACCAACATTTCAAAATTCTAAAACTAGAAAACTGAGCAGCTCATGAGTCGTCCTAAATATGCATGGTATATTTGCCACTTGATTTACCATTGTTTAAACAAGGCAAATTAAGTGACTTGCTTTTGGGAAACCAAACAGGCCTTTAAAACCAACCATAAAGCACGGGATGCTAAATGTCCACAGATCTGACGATCCTATGACAGTGTCGTGAAAAAAAACATGGAGTATGGAAAAACAACATTTTTTTTCGGTCAACATGCATGTTCGAAAGAAACTCTTTAATATTAAATGCTTATCCATATCATAATTGAAGAACAAAACCAATTTCTGAAAATACATTTCCAAAATGTGTGGATGATGCTTGATAATTTGCGTCCATGTCGCCTCCTCCTAAAATTGTAATAAATGTGTTTGAATACTAACATCAAAGATTAAATACTGAGGAAACGTCGACATTTTCAGTTTTTAAAGTTAAAATTTTGAGTTAAAGAAAAGTCGAAATTCTGAGTTTGAGAAAAGTCGAAATTTCGAGTTTAAGAAAAGTGGAAATTTCGAGTTTGAGAAAAGTCGAAATTTTGAGTTTAAAAAAAGTGGAAATTTCGAGTTTAAGAAAAGTCGAAATTTCGAGTTTTAGAAAAGTCGAAATTTCGAGTTTAAGAAAAGTCGAAATTTCGAGTTTAAGAAAAGTCGAAATTTCGAGTTTAAAAAAAGTCAAAATTTAAAAGTCGAAATTTCAAGTTACAGTCAAAATTTCGAGATTTGAAATGTTAAAATTTCGAGTTCAAGACGAAATTTTAAGATTTGAAATGTCAAAATGTCGACTTTGAAAAAAAAGTTCACTGCCAATTTTATTTTATTTACTATGTCCCTAATACGCTTCCGTAGGTACGCACTTCCAGAATAAAATATTTAACTAACAACACACAATAACGAACCTAAATGAAACAGACTAGGTCAAACATCAACAAAAGTTATATAAACATAAACGCACCAAAACAACAGCAAATAAATCAGATAAAACGCATCAAAACGTTGTTAAATGAAATAACATTGGTGTAAGAGTAACACAATTTAGGCAAATTAAATGTTGATTTAGAAAGTATTAAGAAACTAAGGTTTCAACTCCCTCAGGCAAAGTTGACCTCATATGGATTTGGCTATTTTCTAGGTCCTTTTTGGTCATAAGGACCATCAACTGTATCGGTTCATATATGTTATATCCTTGGCTTTCAAATATTTGGCTTTAAGAGTTTCTGATGAAAGTAAATCTAGAAAAGCGCTTCGGACGCATGAAATTTGTAAAGTGTTGTTTTCAGTTTTGATAGAATAAACTTTTCTAACATGGTTAACTTACTGCCTCCTACATTAGTTATTACTACATGAACATGTACCTTATCAGTTGACTTACGGATTTTAAATATTCCAATTCTTTTGTCCGTGATTTTACGACTGTTACATTTGTACCTGGTATACGTTGAGAAAATAGAATAAAATTTGTTGTTTATTACTATTCACTAAATTTTACTTTTCAAATTATTCAGTTATTTTTTTAATTATGATTGATTGATTGATAGTTGGGTTTTAACACCACGTTCAGCACTCTTGACTATATCATGGCAATTAGAATGTAATGCGGTGAAAGCCGGAGTACATGGAGAGAACCACAGAACTTAACAGAAATCCTTAGTCATGAGAAAAAAATACCAAAAGATACATACATTTATCACCTACAGATTTTAGGCTAAAAAATCAAATGAAAAACCCTTATAATGCATTCACTAAAAACTTTTTATTTTTTACGAGTAAATAATAAGTAATTATTTTCAGCCTAACAACATGACCGAGTCCTACATGTATAGGCTAAACACTGATGTCTTTGATATTCGGAAGGATGATTTACCAACAAATACTCCGGAAACATCCGAGATTACTCTTAAAACATCCGAACTTACCACCCACGATGACACTGACGAGCGTTTTGATAAAGTTTATAAACTGGAGACAACATTTATTTTACCGAGCACGGACATAAGCGACATCAAAGTAATGGAAGATGGCACAATTGTAATAGCTGATTTTCAACGTTGTTCTTTAGTTGTGTGTGATATAAAAGGGGAACAACTCCGTAGAATCGGACAAACCGATGGATGGAGACCTTTCCGATTGGATGTGGTAGACTACAGTGATGTCGTTGTTTCTCTGCCGCAGCGGAATGAAGTCATGCAGGTTAATATAAGGCGTAATGATATCAAGCATTATATTGTTACAGGGTGTCGCAATGTTGCCTACCATGACGGTGAACTGTTTGTTCAAAGTAACGAAAAGATTAATGTTATTACTATGAAAGGTGGCTTGAAGGATACAATAACGCCTCCTGGTTTTTACCCTATCTATTACCACGTGTCAAAGAATGGGGATGTTTTATGCACTGCACGTGGTAAAAATGACCTTATATGTATAAACAGACTTGGAGTAGTACAATATACAGCACATGCACCACAAATGCTGTTTCCATATGGAATCACAACCGACAGCAAAGGAAACATATTAGTTGTAAGTGCAGGCTCCAACAATGTTCATGTATTTAGTCCCAATGGAAGACATTCTTCGTTGATAGCTAAACTGCCTGTCAATTTGGAATTCCCGACGATTTGTTTTTATTCAAATGCTCAATCTATTATAATCGGTGATAAAGACCAAGTTTTCATTTACAAATGACAGCATCTTTATTATGCATTTATTTGTATGCTGTAAAATAAATATTCTTGTCTACAGCTGCATATAGGTGCATATATCCCACGGTTCTAATGGACAGTATATGAATGTATACATTGGCCGTTTTACATGTATATAATTTAAAGATATAAATAAATATTAGCCGTAGTTCGGGAAATGATAGTCGTTTGCTTATATTTTCCCTTTTTATTTGGCTAAACAATTTGACTCGCACTTTTGATATTTTCAAAACAATCTACGCTACAAAATGAATAGAGGATTTGCAATATGTTGGTTAGTACATACATTTATATGATTTTGAATGTTAGTTCGAACATTCTACAGATAAAATCATTTAAATTCAGAGAGCTTTACAAAGAGTCTCATCCTTTCCATAGAAAATGATAATGTATAACATTGTCTTCTTTCAATACAATTACGACAGATTTTAAAATAGTAGAACTACAATATCAGTAATGGACATAACAAAAACTTCATCACCAAACACCACAAAAAACTATTCAACAGCTCTAGATCTTAACATAGATCTTAAATTTTTGAGCATACCTTCTACGGCAAACACACGTGTATCTGATCCTTTTTGTTAGGGTGATTATTGCTCAATCTTTAGTTTTCTGTATGATATTTTATGTGTGGTCGTTTGTCTGTTCGTCTTTTTCTTTTATACAGTATTTCTACGACTTAATATATGTAGCACATGCAAGAATGTACAAAATATAATCGAAAAAAAAAAGAGTTGACGAAAAAAGAAATAATGTACAAAAGACCTTTAGATTGCTTTACAATGTTTTAATCAAACAAAGTAGAGTTGTTGTTATAAAGGCTGCAATAGTTGGATCTGAAAGAGAGATCAATCATATACTAAATCATTGTAGCACTCGTCTTGATTTCTGTTTTTGCTTTTTGTTTTATTCAGACAACCAGACTCAAACTGTGGCGATAGGGTCCAGATTTTACATAGACTCAGATTAAAAAAAAATTTCGTTTAGATTAACCAAAATCTTTATGTCAATTCGTTTCTCGTTCTTTTTGGGTGCCACTCTTACACTTATTACTCTTCCTATCGAAAAATAGTAAATACATTACCAGAGTGACGACATACTTTTGAATAATTAGAAAAATGAACTAGTTCTTTGACAAAAGAAGAAAACTGCGTATAGTGGTTATCCGCTTTTATTTCTTCAGAAAATCTAACAAAAAATACTTGACGTTCCAAAATCAGTCGATTTACTTTTCTTTTCTTTTCAAACGCTTATATAAGCTAGAAGATTTAATTGTATCGTTACACTAGTTTAGTGTGAACTATAATTGTTATTTATTGTTTCATCATTATAAAAACAACAAACCAATCTGTAATCAGAGAGCACTAAAAGAGAAAGGATTACCTAATAGGAATTTTAGATGTCCGGTTAAAAAAAAGTTGTATTAGATACACGAATAACTAATTAACTTTGTCATTGCATTTCGTCTTCCTACTGGAAATTATTGTCATTAGATTTAAAAGGACGTTTTGTGTTATTGCAAGTCTTCGGTTTTTAGGCATGATCATGTTGGCGCGTTTTCTAATTGTTCGCTGGCTTATTGTTCGCTAGCTTGATGCATCTTATTGTTCGCTGGCTTATTGTTCGCTAGCTTGAGTCTGGTATTCAGACATTCATGTTTTGTTAGTATTTCAATTAAATGTTCATTCTATCGCATTTGTTCAATCGAGAGAAGAATCATATTTACTACTCAGCGAGACTTTGATTGGTGCGTGTATGAATCCACACATCAAAATAATTGTAAATGCAAGGAAACATCTCAAATTGGTTATCCATATTGAGAAATATGTTATTAATTTATGATACAGTATATGAACAATAAGATGCATTGATTGATATATATTTGGAAACGCATGATATTATCATAAACATTAGGAGTTGTATGATTGACAATGAGACAAATTTCATCCACAGACCAACTGACGTGGTTTCTGACATTAAACATTAACATACAGAAAATGGCGGGGTCAAACATGTTTGAGAGCCATCTCCAAACCCTATATATAGCTAACATGGGATATTTTTGTAATAGCAAAACACAAAAAACAAAAAGAACAAAAAGAAAAAAAACTAAATATACGTTGGAAAAGGCTTGTTTAATATGCTTGTAGTTAAAAGGTATTTTTTATTATAAAAAGCATTTATCCTAAATGTAAAGTTTCATTTTAACAGTAATTGAGAGAAAGTTGTATTATAAATGCATTATTATTCATAATTTGAAATTAATTCACTTCATATTTCTACTCTTAGCCATGGTGTTGTCAGTCCTTTGATTTTTGACTTAATTTTTAAGAAAGAAAAAAAAAATATTTCACGTGAAATATCTAGGAGACATTTTTTTTCTAAGGTATTTTGGTCGTTCAAAGAATCATTATCAGACAAAACGATCGAACTTACTGAATCAATTCAATTTTGAATGTCCATAACCATTTTAAATTAGACTTAAAAATTAAAAAGGTCACAATTGACAATTCTTGAAAAGGGTAACTTCATTTTTAGAGCAATAATACCAAGCAGAATGAAATACAATAAATCTCGTTAAATTACCGTAAATTTACCTAAAATAACAGCAGAAGAACCAAAATTAGGTTCCACTGGGGCTAATCCAAGACTTGTTGTGTTTAGAACCATTTCAGTTGGTGATAATGTTGGATGCGTTGTTGTTAAGTCTGCTTCTATTGTAAGTAACTCTGGATGCGTTGTTGCGTCTGCTGTAGAAAATTCTGGATGTGTTGAGGTGTAGTTCTGTTCCATCGAAGCAACTACAGGATCTTCCGGACAGTCAGATAGTAAGGTAGCAGCAATACTGCTTTCTAAAAAATAAACGATTTTTAATTGAATTATGGATGTATACCGTACACAAGATAAACACCAGCGCCTGTGTTGACGTTTGTGATAACACGTATATGGACAAAGTATATTTCTTACTATGGAGGTATTGACAACACATGGTTAGAAACATATACGGAAGAAATATTTTTAAAACGTACGATGCTATTCTTCATGTGAAAGGTTGCAGTTCATGGGCAGAGTTAAATGAGCCGAAATAAGAATAAAACATATTTCGCAAAGAGCAGACTTAATTGATCTTTTAATATATTAACAAAATAAGTTATAAAAAAATGTATATCAAAATATAGAATTGTAAAGTATGAGTCCCATTATTCCTATGTTAAATTCTTCTTATTCTTTGAGTGTAGTATAACTTGTCAATTTCTAGCAGTATTTCCCACAGCAAGTCACACTTATACTTTGCGACATCGAAACAGCTTAACATAGTGTTAGCGTGACAGGACTTGTGATATCGACTTTATTCGAAAACATAGAATATAATGTGGGGTACATAGGATGATGATGATGGATGGCTGCTTAACGTCCATCGGCAAGTTAATATGCATATTCAGGACGAGAACATGTTAATGTTATATGAACATTAACCCTGCTTTGTACTAGACCGACACGCTGAACTGGATTTTTTACGTGCTAGTTCACAAGGTAACAGTCCGCAGGGAGACATGTCACCTTAACCGGACACATTATTCTGACTCCGAGCCGACCAGTCTTTGCTCTTACTCCTTAATGCCGCGTGCTAGGTGGAGAAGCAGAAAATATCAATTTTAAAGTCTTTGGTTTGAACTGGCCGGGGTTCGAACCCACGACCTCCCGCACTCGAGGCGAACACGCTACCACGAGAGCACCGAGGCGGTGGGTACATAAGAAAATAAGAAGATATTGTATGGTTGTCAATGAAACAACTATATAACAAAGGCCAAACGACAAGAATGCGATAAATGTCAGCGGACGGCTGTCAAGACTAAACACACCATTTACTTTATAGTAAGTTATAAAAGACCCGGGATGACAACATTTGAAAACAATCAAAAAAATAACCAACGTTCTGATTTATGGCAAAAACAATTATCAACAAGGATACTTTTTACACATAAACCAAAAAACCATGCGATTACAGGCCCTGGCTTGGAAAATGAATATACAAGATGTTACATGGTTTGTTGTAGAGCGCTTATCTCTTACCTGGGTAGGGATGTATCAGCACACCATGAGAACAAACTGTAAAAAACAGATTGAAAAGGCTATGTTCGCCAAAATAAAGTCAACCCAACGACTGCAGAAAGCAATCGAAATCTAGAGGTCAACATACGGTTTTAAACAACTTGATAATTGGCTATACCATGTGACAAATAGACAAAAAAAAAATCACAGCAATTATAAACATATTCGTATTAAAAAATGGACCGCCATATTTATATTGACCTCTAGATATCTTTTGGTTATAAGACTTGTTGGCGGCTGTCTTCTTGACACAAACAAAAACTTACCTAATTTTGGTACTAGGTCAGGAACTAGATTGCACAAGTATACAAAGCTTGAAACGTACAACAGATAATACGAATCAGGATTACTTGCTATTCCCTTCAGTTCAGCATTACTGGCGGAAAGAGCAGAACCTATTCCTAACGAAAACACCTCAGCGCCATCTGTTCGTAGGTTATCAGCTTCCATTTCAGGTTTAGGATATCCGGAAGACTGTCCGTCGGTCATGACGATAACTGCAATTTCAGCTCCGGACCTAGCACCATTGCCTGTCGTAAGAATTGTGGATTGGGTATAATTGATAGCCATTCCTGTCTTTGTTATCCCATTTGTAATAGTTCCTTTCAAGTTCTTGATTTTTTGTAGAAGTTCTGTTTTATTTGTATATGAGTCGAAAGCAATGTCAAGTCTATTATCAGAGGAAAACGTCATTACAGATACTTTTAGATTTTGATCATCAATGGTTAGGAATTCTGTTACATTGTATATGAATTCTACTGCTTCGTCAAAATGCCGTTCCTGTATACTTCCTGATCTGTCAACAATGTATACCACATCTGAAAGTGTAAGAATGTTAATTAAATGCCTAAATGTTATGGTAATCAATTAAAAATAAAACCCCCCCCCCACAAAAAAAAAAACAACAAAAAAACCCAACCATTATACCTTTTATAGCACAGAGTGCTAGTGGCAAAATAGAAACTAAAGCATACACATGTATCATATGCATGGTTATGATCTTGCGTCTTCGAATATTGTTTGAATTGATGATGAATTTATAGGTACACTGGATGTCGTGACAGTATAGTCATTTAATTTACACTGTTGACACTAGTGACATTTCTATACAAATACTGTGACATGTCTATACAAAAAACTGGACCAAAAGTTAGGGTCTTCAATTGATAATTTAAGTAATTGGTAAGCTAAGATAGTATTATGTGCATGTTGGTTTGCTATTTTCTACGTTTTTTTTAAATATACAAACTATGTTTAATTGCTTTAAGATTATCCAAAGTGTGCGGTAAGCGCTTTGGTCTCATGAACATTTCTTTTCATATAATTGACTGTCAATTCAACAATTTTTTTATTTGTACCAACGTACGCAACAGTGGGCTAAAAATATTCCAATGAACTGAATTGGTATGATATATCTGGTAGTGGAACGTTAATTTAAAGAACATACGTCATTTGTCTTGCCTCGTTCTGATTAGTGGTCCCAATGTCGAATTCTGTGATAATCTTCCCGCTTATCCCAGTCTAGAATCATATTGTATGCTATACAAGTGTACGATACATGTGTATATGTACGGACGCTTCATCTTTTCAATCCTGTAAAATACATATACACAAATAGAGAAAGGGAGAAAGAATATCGCCAAAAATGCAACACAACAGTGAAACAAACGACGCCAACCACTAACACTGACTCCGTTAACAACACAGAACTTCTCACAAAGATTGATTGTTGTTTGCTTGACGTCTAGTGGCAAATATTTTATGTAAAATCAGAACGGGAACAAAACAACAATCATATGATACAAGCATGTTCGGTGTGAGCCAAGGCTCCGTGTTGAAGACCGTACTTTGACCTATAATGGTTTACTTTTATAAATTTTGACTTGGATGGAGAGTTGTCTCATTGGCACTCATACCACATCTTCTTTTATCTATATTGCAGGGGATGCTTAGCCTGTCGACTTGTCATATTAGGGTTATACTATTGTTATTCTTACTTGACCTGTAAATATAGTATTTGTCAAAACACATTACTAGTAATTTCCCATTAAAGTATACTAGTATCGATCGGTTTTGCTCATTATTTAGAACCGTTCGCCCGCTCACCTTTAGTTGTTTACATTCTTCCTCTTTAGTGTTTGGTGGATAGTTCTCACATTGACAATCATACCAAACTTTCTTATTTTTTACGACAATGTTTTCAAATATTATTTAAGGTCACCAAAATATTACGGTCGAAAGACACAATAAATAAAATTCTCATCTAAAAGACATAGAGACTCGGTTTTGACCTCATAACTCATGTATGTTCATAAAAACTTTATATGATTTTATATCTACGTTGCTTGCGACATCATTTCCCTTTACAACATTAACGTAATATCATAGTTTTATATTGTCCAAGTATGAAAAGATATACATGGATTACGTTTTAGTAATTGCAACCATTAAAAGTTTAAATTCTTAACGATATATATCTATGTTTTAAATGAAAAAAAAATACAATTGTAATACAATTAGAAAACAAAAATACCAAGCCCACTTTATGATCATGACAGATAAATCATTTATTTAACAAATTAAATACGAAGACACGAAAAAAAAAAAATTAAAAGAAATTGTATTTTGTAGTCTATTTCATGTAATCACAAGTCATTCAACCCATTCATTGTTAGTAACTCTATCTTACAAGAAAAAGTTAAAGAATAAACAAGGTTTTAATTTGATTCTTAAATGTGATAAAGTTTAAAGTCTCTGATGAATTCTGCTGACATAAAGTAATGTATTTAAGATTCATTAAGACAAATACGTAAATTACTCTAGATTGGTAACAACACAGTAGAATCATAATAAGGCTCGGAGTTTTTAATTTATATTATGACAACAATATAATAGGAGATTACACTTGCAAGAATCTAAATTTATCCCGACAACGACATAACGTTGAGGCTTTGGCTAACTCGGCTGTGTATTTTTATGTGTTGGATTAAGTTGTTTTATGTAATGTATCCGTTTTTATTCTGTAGTTAGTCCCCACTTCGGTTTTATCATGTATATCTATTATATAGTCATTTTATAAAATTTCCTGATTGCAAAATTATAAATTATTCTAAATAATTAGGATGTTCTTGTCCCAGGCAGAAAACCCTGGCCGTGATAGGCGCAACTTACAAGGAAGTTTTGGTCCTCGGTGCTCTTCAGCTTTGTACTTGTTTTGGCTTTCAAACTTTTTTCATCTGAGCGTCACTGGTTGGTCTAGTGTGGACGAGACGCACGTCTGGCGTATTGAATTTTAAGCCTAGTACTTTTTGTTAGCTATTATTCGTGTTCTTCTTTGTCCTATATGTTCTCCCATTTATTTGTATTGTGGTCCTGACATGTGATGTTGTCGTTTTGGTGTTGTGTTTGACGTTGCCATAAAAGCGGGAGGTTTGGTATGCCACAAAACCAGGTTCAACCCACCATTTTTTTCTTAAAATGTCCTGTACCAAGTCAGGAAAATGGCCATTGTTACATTATAGTTCGTTTCTGTGTGTGTTACATTTTAATGTTGTGTTTTTGTTGTGTCGTTGTTCTCCTCTTATATTTGATGCGTTTCCCTCAGTTTTAGTTTGTAACCCGGATTTGTTTTTATCTCCATCGATTTATGAGTTTCGAACAGCGGTATACTACTGTTGCCTTTATATAACAACATAATAACTTTTGTTTCACATGCGTCCTCTTTTTAACGAACAATAATGAATGACTATGTTCTTTCGATTGTGCTGAACATACTTCAAGAATACAAGATGTTATGTCTCGACCAATTCAGGCTTTCTGGACCGTCTTGTAAGTTGTTCTGTGTCTTTGTTAGTCTCGCGCATGCCCTTTATCCTGGTCTGCTTTCATATTGTATTTATTATTGTTTTGTTCTCGTCCTGAATATGAATGAAAGTTTTGTTACTTGTCGTCAAGCAAACAACAATCAATCTTTGTGAGTAAGTCTGTTTTTGTAAAGAAGTCGGGTGTTAGTGGTTGGTGTCGTTTGTTTTACTGTTGTGTTGCATTTTTGGCGATACCATTTCTCCCTTTGCCTGTTTGTGTATGTTTGCAGGATTGAAAAGATGAAGCTTGCATACATATACACATGTATCGCACACTTGTACAGGCCTACGAAAATGATGTATAAACGTTTTAAATGTCTGTAGAATATAAGGAATTAGTATTTCCTTACTAAAACATTTTCAAACTATCACAGGTGTCTATCACAATATTTACTGATAGATATCTAGAGAGAAAATTATGACACATGTTGAGTCAAATTTAGCTTCAGATGGGGGAACAACTGGTGTCTTTCAATATGTTTTTATATATCAAAGGTACCATGCTTAGTGATTTCTTTTAGCGATCATAACCCTATACTATTTAATCTCAACCGGTAGACTAACAAAGTGTCATAGAACATGTACCGTTTGGAGTTGTGTTTCTTTTAGCTCTTCATACACTTACCGCTATCATGGTTTGCAAATCCGAAAAAAAAAATATTGTATAGATTGCTGAATGTTTCTGTTTCACAGAAGTCATGATCAGGCTATTTATTTTTGACCCCTTGAAGTCCATATTTTAACTCATAACTGTAACGATGAGTTGGAAGCAATTGCTTTGAATGCATATACAAATCTACACTTATAACACAAAATGTAGAAAAATTATCACTTCCGATCTTTTTTGGTAAATAATAGCTAAAAGAAAACCAATAAGTATAAAAAAAGACTTTAAAAAGAACGTTGGGTAATCAATATCTTTAATTATAACACAGTTCTTAACTGTATCTTACATCAGTCAAACGATTAGCCAAAGAATGATTCAATCTAGAGAGACTCAGTACTTGACGCAGTCATCTGTTTTTCTAAACCACTCTTGTTAATAATTCATTCGGTACTATTGTATAAGACTTGGCGACGTTAAATAATTATTTTTGCAAATATATAATCGAATTTTCGATCCCACGACAAGAATAAAGAAGCATGAAGATTTCTGTAAATACATGTATAATCTGATTGTGGAACCTACGTTAGAATACATCTTATCGACATAGAGTGGGAGTAAAGTTCTTTGATCTATATGTTCTTTACACATAATAAAATATTTGAGGTTAGTAGAAAATAGAATAATAATCCAACGAACAAATGGGTAATTATGATATAACAGATAAAAATGAATACAACCAACTAAAACGTAAACCATGTGAATATTGATAATGGAACACCGAAAAATATATGTGTTTGGTGGACTGGAATAGCAGAAAACAGTAAGAATTTATAATGCAGTTTCTACCATTATATAACCAAACACACAGGAAAAGATTACCTTAGCATAATTTGACAAAACCTTTCCGAGTTTTGGGTCCTCAATGCTCTTCAACGTCGTATAAACATAAGATGTGGCATGATTGGCAATGAAAAAACTCTCCACCATAGACCAAATAACGTTAAAGTTAACAAGTATAGGTCACCGTACGGTCTTCAACAATGAGCAAAAACCATACCGCATAGTAAAGTTACTTATTTTGTTTTACCTTTTAATCATTTTTGATTCGAGCGTCATTGATGACTCTTTTGTAGACGAAACGCGTGCCTGGAGTATAAATTCTTAATCGTGGTATCTTGATGAATTTACTTTAACGGCCAATAACAAAACGGCAAACCAAATAAAGTATTAAAGGAAACACAATCATTAGCGGGGTTCAGCTTTTCATCACATCATTGGTATTGAGTGTATTGTCCCTGAAATGATATTAAATATACAACCTGGTTCAAATTCATGAATGTTTG